TGCCTTTGGTCACTGGCTCTCAGCATGAATTCCTCCTTGCACAACTGCTGCCTGGAAGGTGAATAGTATTGGCCTCTCTGGGTTTCTCCAACAGTAAATGTGACCTTTTTCAACTGCCCTCAGAGCAAGGTTGGGCAAGCTGCAGACCCCTCCACATCCCACTGAAGTCTCTAGGAGTGAAGGACATTCAGCACCATGCAGGATGAGGCCCAGAGTCTTTTAAAACTCAGCCCTGGAATGGAAACACCAGGGCATACAGGCCTAAGATGTCAGAGGAAGAACTCAATTTCAGCCCCATGCAGAGAGCCAGCACTTAAGTACTACTTCACCCCTCTGGCAAGATTGTGTCCTGGTCCAACATAGCCTTGCTGGGGACCAAGGGGGCATAGAACTGATTGACTTTGTATGCAGCTCAGCAATGGCTGGGAGAGAGAAGAGCTTGAACATCAGACTCCCCGCAGGGGAACAGATGAGGTAAGGAAGGGTGGAGCCCTGGTTCTGCCGTCCTGTGTGCCAACCAGCAGAGCCAGCCAGTTGTGTGGAGGAATGTAAGCCGTCCCCCACAAAGGGATGTCACAACTTTCTCAACCCATCCCAGAGAGCAAGCTGAGCAGGGGAGACTGTGCCATGGGGTGAAAATTTTGTCCCAGGGCTCCTAGAAGGAGACGCCCCATCTTCCAGACCAATCCAAGGTTCAGTCTCTCTCTAAGGTTCCGGGACTTATGCAGTAGTCTTGGCCTGGCCTTGATATACATCTGAATTTCACTTGATGGTCTCTTTTTCTGGATGCCCCCTTAGCGTTACTTTTAATGGGAACTTAGATCTCTTAGAAGCAGCATTGAAAATAGCAGCCTTAAAATGTTACAGATGCTCATAACAACATGCAAACACAATGTAAAACAAGCTGATGTACACAGCAGCTGCCCAAAGGGGAGGGAGCATCCTCACAATGCAAGCTGCCAAGATTATGTTATTTGTTAATATTTCACCTCAATAGAAGACTCTGAGGCCTTTTGTTTTCACCAAATTGAGCAAGAAAGCAGCTGAATTCCCAGCTACTGAGAAGCGAATCTATCCTGTCGTGTGGAGGGGAGTGCATTTCCCCATCAGTACACCAGGAAAATAATAGAATACAGCAAAACCAGAATGCAGCCAGTGAACTCTATTTAATTGAGACACATCTTCCCGGAGCTGAGGGATTATTTTAATTAGGGTTATTATCAGTATATCTGAAGCTTGCTTTTTTCTCAATAGGTTGTTTTACTGTTGTTTTTAAATTTACAAATGGCTGATAACAGATGTGTTGGCCAAAGCTCTGCATTTTCTCCCCAGGAGATTTAACACGTTGCTGCCTGTGTATCCAGTCTACTTTGCTTTTTTTCATTTGGCTGCATCTCCCACCTCAGCTGTGTCTTGTCTGCTACTGTGTGGCCCTCACTTCCACAAAAGAGGAGCAAAAGCCATGTCACAGGGCACTTTTTGTACCACGTTAACCTGCACAGGCAAAAGATGAACAGAATGACCTGCTATGTTCTTTTCTACTCTAACTCCTAGGTTGGGGAGTTCCATGAAGGAAACTAGTCAGATGTCCACTTACATTTCTCCCAATAAAGGGAAATAAAAGACCTGGAAAAACTACATTTGAGAAAGATCTGGGTGATGTTAAAGTCTCTCCAAGTATTGGAGCATCCCCAGGAGCAACTGTGATTGTGTGCAGTCCAAACTCGGATATTTCTTTGCATGTTTTTATGAACTGAAATGCTATTCCCCCAAGGGCCGCTCACTCTGTGATACCCAAGCTTTCATTATTTACTCTGACAGGCGGCTGGCTCTTGCACTAAGGCCTGTCGCTGCCTGCACTACAAATCATCTCTCACCTTGTCACCACAGAGATGGCAATTTTACAGCTGGCACCTTCAATCAAGTGAAATTCGCAGCTCGCGCACTTTGTCTCTGTCGTGTGATGAGTTGGGAAAGCGGGCTGAAGAAAGCCCTTCTAGCTGGAATCTGAAAAGACTCAAAAGCAAATTAAAACTATAAAGTTAAACCTGTGAGTGGTAAAAGAGTGAAATCCCCTTGTGAGTAGCTCCAGCTCACACAACCATTATGGCAATTATGATGGGAAAAATCATTGTTGCTGATGCTGTTGGTGAACAATAGAATCCAAGATTGTGACACTCTCCTCCCCCTCCCTCCCAGTGATTTAAATTGAGTGTCTTAGTTTTTTTACAATCTGGCGGCATTTCAAAAAAGAGCTTTGTCTTTAAGCAGTTTGTACCATATTATGTAAGAGGATAAGCAACCCAGAAATATACAAAAATGTCCTTTTACCCCCGTACTCTCTGCAGGTCTGTTCCCAGATTAGTTTTATGAATGAGCTGCCTCCTCCCTCACATCCTGCTCGCATAAAGCCCAATTTAGCTGAATCTTAAAACTCTCAGTGGGGGAACTGTGTTAGTCTGTAAGGGTATGTCTACACTGCCACCCTAGTTCGAACTAGGGAGGCTAATGTAGGCAATTGAAGTTGCAAATGAAGCCCGGGATTTAAATATCCCAGGCTTCATTTGCATCTTGCCGGGCGCCGCCATTTTTAAATCCCCGTTAGTGCGGACTCCTGTACAAACCTGTGGTGAAAGACAGCCCCCTCCCCCAAAGACCTTAGGGAGAGCAAGTGGACTGGCCAGGGTTGTACAGGGAGCCAATGTAAGAGCCAGGAATTGAATCCCTCTCACCTGAGTTCCAGCCCGATGCCTTAACCATAAGGCTCGAACTTCCTTTTATGTTTAAAAGCCTCAGAGGAGTAGCCATGTAAGTCTGTAACTTATAAAAACAACAAGTAGTCCTGCAGCGCCTTAGAGACTAACAAAAATATATATAGTATCATACGTTTTTGTGGGCAAAACCAGTTCTTCAGATAAGCCTGAGCCATTAAATGGTCCGCCAAACCTTCCTCAATAGATAAAGAAGATGAACAGATTGAATCAAACCAGACTTGAAAAACCTATTGGAGAAGTTTCTGGAGCAACATCTTTTTCATGACTTTGATGTCACCATGAGTATGGAAGGTAGAAAGAAAACCTTTATTTTTTGAGGGGGAAAGGTAGCAAAAAGGGCTTTGATCACACTTAATCACACTCTTTATAAATTCAATTTGATGTGTTTATATTAAAGCAAGACAAAGCAGAACTCACTCATGCAGCTATAAATTGTTCTTACTGGGGTCTTAACAGAAAATATTTAATAAAACAAAACTCACATTTTTCCACAAATTTGTTTTGCAGAGATTATGAAAGCTGAAGATTTTATATCTTATATAGCCACTTGCATACCAATTTTCTGTGGGGTACTGCTGCTCCAAGCACTAGACAGCTACTGCATGTTGAACCTCTATGATCCGGGACACTCTGGTCTAGCCATTATTTTAAAATGCCAGCCCTGAAAAAATGTATGCAAGTGCTGAACTCTAAACAAATGTAGCCCCATAAACTACAACGGGATTACTCAAATGTGTAATGTTCATGAGTCTGTTGGACAGACTCAAATCTCCATAAAAAAGGTATAATTTGTATGCATCTCTCTGCAACTGGTGATGTGGGTAGTTTAAAGTTATTCATTGCCACAGATGTCACAGGGAGATAAGAGTATTTACTTGTCTCTTTGTATTGCTACATGGAGGAATATTGAGATGAAGAAAGCCCGGAAAGCACTAAGTCCTAAGGCTTTTGATGCAAGTTCCAAAATTAGAACATAAATTAAAGCAAAGCTAAATTTACATCACTTTGCAATTAGCTGGAAAGTTTCCAGATAACAGTGAAAACACAGCTTGGTCTCAAGTTGATTTTCCTTCGACTGCTGCTGCACACGTGGAAGTTTTCAGAGAACTCTCCACAATGACTCCAAGATTTCTCTTTTGAGTAGTTGTAGCTAAATTAATCCCCATCATATTGTATGCATAGTTGGGATTATTTTTTCCAATGTGCATTACTTTATATCAACATTAAATTTCATTTGCTATTTTGTTGCCCAATCAGTTAGTTTGGTGAGATCTTTTTTAAGCTCTTCACAGTCTGCTTTGGTCTTAACTATCTTGAGCATTCAGTATCACCTGCAAATTTTGCCACCTCACTGTTTACCCCTTTCTCCAGAGAAAAAGACATCTTAAAGGACTGTGATGGAAACAAATCCCATGAATCAAAAGCTGAAGAGATAGGAAGGCACCCTAAGAATGGAATCTGCCTGCTGGCCAAAGCTAGTTAGCACTGCCTTACAGAGTGCGCTGGAACAATTGCCAACTTCACTCAGAAAGGAGAAAAGATCCTGCATTTGTTTCATTTTATTTTTGAGGCTAGAAATAGGGTAGGTTAACACAGCTCTAAAGGCTGTTTCAGCAAAATCAGAAAAGAACATGAGGCCTAAACCCAAGATCAAAAGTCATCAGAGCATGTAGCCCTACTAGGACATGCTGTTAGCATTCCAAACAGAAGGAAATGTTCAGGAATTTGGGGCTCTCCTCACAGGATTTGTGGGTTTGTTTTAGCCTCTGCCATAACACCACAGCTCTTGATGGGAGTTGAAAAGAGTCTGATGTTTAAAAGCCCGAGACCCACCAGGTTGGAGTATAGTCCCCAGATTTTCTACAGACTTCCTGGATGACCTAGAGGAAGTCAACTATCCACTCCCTCCTCAGTTTCCCACCGGTAGGATACTAGTCCTCCTTTTCTTCCACCTTTTATCTGGTTTATCTTTTCTGTTCAGGCAGTAAGCTATTTCTAAGCAGTGATGGTCTTTTATCCAGTGTTTGCATATGACTTTGCACAGTGGGCCGTTATTTTGTTTGAAACTTGTAGGTTCTACTCGAAAAATAATAGTAAAGATATTCTATAAGAAAATATATCATTTCTATGAATGGTTTGTTAGCCATCTCTGGTGCTGTTTAGACCCTGGGCTGAGTGTCGATAGCTTTCCCGAATAAGAGCTAATGGCGGCATATGTTTTTCTAGGAAAAGCAAGTAGAGGAGTTGTCTGCAGTGAGGCAGACCTTACAAGCAGACCTGGAAACCTCGATTCGACGCATTGCAGATCTGCAGGTCGCCCTCGAAGAAGTGCAGTCCAGCGATGGAAGTGATACAGAGAGGTATTTAGACAAAACCCAAAGCCACAAGACAAAACCAAGAAGGCCAGGTTTATCCCTGGGGGAAGCATTCTAAACTGAATGCTGATACACCCGGGACCATGTAGCCCTGATGCCTCTACGTGTGACTGAAATAGGTCATTGGTTCATCTTCTACCTTCATGTACATCATCCCATTCAGATCCGCCGATGTGGGGAGGGGAAGGGGAAGTTGCCCCGGGGCCAGAGAGTTTAAAGGGGCCCAGGGCTCCTGGTTCTCACTGCTGCTAAGGGGAGAGGGTGTACCGCATACTCCAGTGGCTCTCAGGACTACCTGGGGGCTGGAATGATGTGCTCCAGGTGTCCTGAGGGCTCCACCCCATCTGCCTGATGCCCCGCCTCTTTTGGGCGTGTGAAGCCTAGCCCTCTCCACTTTGCCTGCAGAGGCTATTGGTGCCCTTGTCCCCATTCAGCATAGTTTATGAGTGTCACCTATTATGCAAAATTCTGCATGTTTAAAAAATTGTTCCAAAAATTCCATTTTCCACCAGATGCAGTCTTTCCTTCAGGGAGGAGATTCTAATCCCCTTGTGTCTGGTGTCAGAAATCTAGCTGTGGTGTTTTGTTTTGTTTTTTTTCAGAACAGGAAAGCTTTCTGCTGCATGGCTTTTCACCTTGTGTAGTCATTTGAACCAGGGTAAAAGTGGAGTCCTCTGTGCTTAGCACAGCATGGCAGTGTTTTAGCACTTGTGGAAATGGCTATCCAAAGTGAAGGGACAATGGGAAAACCAGGCCCTAATTGTGTATTTGTCCTTCAGACTTTTCCAAAAGAGCTAGTTGGGTTGGTGGGTAACATCCATTTATAGTATCACAACTGAAGCAGACTCAGGCCAGTGCTGAAGGGGTTTGAATTTGATAATAAAAAATGTTAGCATTGGAGAGTTAAAATGATATGCTTAATTTTCAAAGCTCTCCTCCCGATTGTTTATCAGCTATTAAAACCACCGAGAGAGACATTTCCATTCTTAGATGCAATAATAGTTTTACTGCCAGTGTCACAAAATGGTCTCACTTTTCGGGAAAACGCATGTTCCCGGCAGGAGGCTCAGAAGTGCCAGTTGGAATTGAAATCTTTATTCTCCAGCACATTTCACGCTTCCTTCCTGCAGAGAAGTGTTTGTGACCTTTTGTGCTTTCAGACTGCTGGGCCAAATGAGCCCAGTGCAAGTCAAATTTGCCACCGCAAAACATTGACAAAGGGCCTTGAGAAAGGCTGTCCTTGGATACATTTAAATATAACATTCTCCTTCAAATTAAAAGGCAGAATAATTCCAGCATTGCAGTCTGTGCTCAACAAAACAAACCACTGAATGATCTCCAAATCAGTGGAATTTCCCTCAAAACCCATGATGCTCTCGTGTCTCTCCAGTGGTAATTACCTACCTGTTCTTCCCAGATCTGTGTTTGAGACCTGTTCTTGTTCATCTAAAGTCATTCTTTGCCTCTGCAGCCTTCACAGAGTCAAATACAGTCTGAAGCTTCCTTTCTGTTACTGATCTTCACACAGCTCTTAAATATTTTTTCTCTAACGGTAAAATCAGTCCAGTGCTGGAAGTCTTTCTAACCACTTTTTAGTCTTCTTGACTGCTTTGGAGTATCTCTTTCCCAGACAACCTCCAGATATGGCTATTGCTCCTGCAGCAGATCTAATAGGATGTTCTTCCTGAAAATAAATCTGTCCCTTCCCCACTCTCCCTGTAGTGATTACCAAGCGCCTCTCTTTTTGTAAGAGGAAGTCATCTGGAAGGGCTCAGTCTTAAAGGGGCATGCATTGGATTGCACTAGCCATAGATGCTCATATCAGAGAAGGATGTTTTCACAGAGCATCTAGTTATCAATTTCTGACAACTAGATGCTCAATAAGTTGAAGTTATTGATTAAAAAAATAGGCATGACCTTTATTTGCCTTCAAAATTAAGGTTGGGTAGGGAGAGAAAACCAGTTTTTACAGTAGAACCAGTTAGAAATGTTTGAAAATGGACAAGAAAACATTTTCATTCAATTTCTGTCCCCCATTTTTTATTAGCTCCTTTTTGATGACAGCTGTCCTCTCCTTTCCCTCATTGCTATGGTGGCATTATGACACACAGAGAGAAGGAGTAGATACATAAAAATCTTTCCCCAATTATTAGGAAAGGGTGAAACCCAAAAGCTCATAAATGCCCTTTTTAATCAAAGCTGCTTTCAGAGACAATAGATACTTTATTCCTGATGGAGAAGTATATCTCAGCAGGGACTTTCCAGGCTGCTGGGCTGAGAGAAATGAGGTTTTGTCCTCTTTACAGTTATTTACCCCTCCAGAGTTACCATAGCATAATGTCTAATGATGCTTCCTCTGCACCTCTTAGTGAGGTAGACACATTATTAGTCTGTAACTTTAAAAACAACAAGCAGTCCTGTGGCACCTTAGAAACTAACCAAAATATATTAGATCATGAGCTTTTGTGGGCAAAACCCACTTCATCGAGTGTGTTTTAATCACAAAAACTCATGATTTAATGTATTTGTTAGTCTCTAAGTTGCCACAGCATTGGTCCATGGTTTCAATTTTCGTATTTCCCTGCAGTTTGGAACTTGTAACCAGTGGATCCTGAAACAGACGCAACCTGTTACTAACTTAAATTAATAAATTCAGGTTTTCTGCTCAGCTGTTTATTGAATGTTTGGGAATGAAACACCAGATCTGTGACAAATTAGCCTTTTGCATGTTGCAGGGGCTCTGATTTACAAATGATCAATGCCTGTGTTTTACCTCTGACTCAGCGGAGTGAACTGCAGTGCACACAGGCGTGGCAGTAACATCACGCCCCTCACATATTGCAATATGTAGATCCTAGGAAAATCAACATGCTCTGATGCAGAACAGCAGATAGCATTGTGGCTCCCAACAGGCATAACATTAGTTCTCATCGCATTAGTCCCTTTTGTCAGCCCACAAACCTGGGCAAAGTGTTTGAGCATATTACAGGATTGTTAGCTATTCGACTTGCACATCATACATTAGCAGCAGTGGGCTCTTTGACTGGCGCACATCAAATATACCACACACACATATACCCCGTGTGCACAACAGTAGCATCGGTGTGTGTCTGTGGGTGTGCATGTGCCTTTCTTCTGTGGTGGGATTGGTGTTCAGGAAATACTTTGGACAGGTAGGAAGAGGCCTTGTTAGCTCTGCTGCTCCTTGCCTCCAAAAGGTGGATGAGCAAGTTGTGTTACAATGAATCTGCAATGTTTTTTTGATCTCCTCAAAGAAAAGCTGATGCTTGTGATTCAGTACAAATCCATCGCCTATTACAGTGATCTTTTGTTCCTTCATTACAGTGTCCAGACAGCCCGGGAATCTGCCTATTCAAGAGGAGATATGTAAGTGAACATGAAGACCTGCTAGTGGGTAAAAGCTTTTGAAATCTTTTTGTGATATTGACTCAGAGTTGTCAAAATCTCATTTGGCAAGGATATGTCAATACCTGGTGAGAATGTGCTCGTGCTCTTATTAAATGCACTTTGATTATTTTCAGATGGAATGTCAGATGGATTGCCTTTGCAATACACTGCATCTAGACTGATATTCTACGCTTCCCCAGATATTCTGCCTATTAACCCAAGACAGATGGCCTTACTTTATTTTTATTTGCCTGGTCATATTTGAGAAAATTAAACTGGCCTGTACTTTCAAAGGAATTGACTTTCTTAAAGGGAATCAACCTGTCAGCAGGGGACACCAATGTTGGGGACCAAACCCGTGGCATAGTGGGAAACCCTTTTGGGAGGTTTGAACCCACTTCTAATGCAGATCTGGAGGACTAATTCAAATGTGTTTTCTGACTGAAGCCATCATCCTTGAACTGAACATGCAGTGAATAAGATGATGATTCTGTTTGCACACAAGCAATCTGGGTTACAGAGTGTTTTCACCAGCCAAAGTGGGAACAGACAGCTGAAGTGGCAATTGCACAAACATCAGATTGCCTGGAAAAGTTTGTTTCATATGTGCTGAAAGGAGACTCTGAGCCAGTCTATGCTACCGCTTTAGAAGGCCGGAACAGTTTCTCTCATCTGGAGGATTTTTTTTAAAAGATTAGGGATGAAGGGACCAATACAGATCAAACAAAAGCCACCACAAACTACCACCCTGAGAGAACCCATGTAGGTTTTAGACATCTTTCCCTCACTTCATTTTTCATGTGCATGGCTTGGTTTGACATGAGATTGCAGCACAAATTCTACAATGTGTGAGAGACTGGGGATGGGGTTGTTTCCAGTCCCGGGGCCTTGCAAAGTCAGGAGAGAGAGCCCAGGCAGGAGAACATTTTCAAATAGCCCATTTTCCAGTATTCCTTAGATCCCCTTGCAGTCTTTGGGGAAGGAAGGCATGCCAGAGTGAAATGCTGCTGTGTTCTACTTGCAGGGACAACCAGTCTAGCTTAGGCTCCACTCTGAGTCTGGAGCCAGAAGAAAGCCTCAAATCCTGGCTGGGATCTTCACTGGGATGGTCATCACCTTCAGTTTCCAGTGTTGCTGGGAGTCTCTCTAAGCAGTCCACAGGCAGCTGCAGCCTGAGGTAAGAGATGCCCAGAACTGTCTTAGACCAAAACATGTCAGTGGTAACAGACGGGGTGTAATGCAGGCCGAGTTGTCTGTAGATACTTTGAACACTAAGGGTATGCTTCCTGCAAGGATGTTTACTGGATCTGTCAAAAAAGGCTTTCTTTCTTGACTGATCCCCTTCTAGACTGCTGCTTTTTGCCAACAAAGTGCTGAGTTGGCAATACACAGTGGACATTTTTATGCAAATTAGGCATGGGATATTTAAATGCCTTGTCAACCTGCCTAATCTGCATGTCTCTGCTGACAGAGGGATGCAGTCTAGACATACCCTCATTGTCAAGGTACCAGAGAGGTACCAGGCATAGAATCAGGAGAACGTCCCTTTCCTAGAACCTGCAAGAACTGCAGTAGTATCCAGTTGGAAACCTTGTCAGGGTGCAACAAGACGAGGTGCTACCAGGCTACTCGTATTTGAAAGGTAGAGTATTTCCTGTGTAAAGTCACACTTCTGCAGCTTGCCCAGTTAGAATGATAAAAGAAGCAGGTACAATGCAAAAACATGTTGCTAGCCAACACCAATTCTTCCACACCAGTATCCTTCACTTGAGCAGACCTCCAAAGCAATGGCATTAAGTTGCAAAATAAGTTACTATCTGGTGTTTATTTCTGACAATTGTTCATTGCCCTTTTAAATAAAAGAGACTGCATTCAACTAGATAAGAGCAAGTGCCTGGTGAATGTTAAAAAGGGTTGGATTTTCTGTTAGGATCAACATCCAGAATTCTGAGTCACAAAAAGTTTGGAAAATCTTAAGAATACCATTCAGAGTTCCTCATTTCACACAACCTTTATCACATCTGTCACGTCTTCATCTTTCATACTCTTCATTACTGCAGTATCATGTTATAACCAGTGGCTCCCAACCTTTCCAGGCTACCGTACCTCTTTGAGGAAACTGATTTGTCTTTTTCCCCCTAAGTTTCATCTCACTTAAAAACGTATACAATCAGACATAAAATACAAAAGTGTTGTTTCACAATATTCCTGAAAAATTGTTGACTTTCTTATTTTAACTTCAGGTTGAAACTCCTTAATCTGGCACACTCTGGTCCAACAACATCCGTGGTCTGGCATGATTTTAGTTAGCCAGATGTCTATTTATCATGGGTGTGGCCAGCTTTTCTGCAGTCCCATAAAGTTTGTTTACAGCCAGCAGTTCTAGCTTTCAGTGTTCTGTGCTGTTGTTAAGCTCTAATTTACCCCTACATGTCTTCTAAGAGCCCAGCAAGCAGTGGGAGTGTTGATAATACTGCTAGACAATATTGACCTCCTGTGGTCTGGCAAATTCTCTGGTTTGGCACCCTCAGGTGCCAAGGGTGCTGGATTAGAGAGGTGGAACCTGAATATCACTGTAAAAGAAATAATTTGGAATATAAATATTTTACTTACAATTCAGAGTTTAGTATATAGAGCAGTATAAACCAGTCATTGTCTTTATTGAAATTTTTGTTTGTACTGATGTTTCTAGTGCTTTTTATATAGCTTGTTGTAAAACTAGAGAAATATCTATATGAGTTCATGTACTCCTTGAAAGACCTCTGTATACCCCCATAGGTACTTGTATCCTGGTTAAGAACCTCTGTAATTTTTCAGAATATCTGCTCCCCTTGCACTTGATGGCTGCCGTAGCATGATACAATAGCATTTACAGAATGAGTTGGAAGACTATGGTCTAACATGATACATGAGAGGATTTTGCAATGGTTGTATTGGATGCTGTAACAGACCCACACCTTGATGTTCTCCAGTTTATCTACAAGAACTGTGTGGCTGCTGTCCTTCAAGGAAGCAATGGAATCATGAGTGAAATCCTGACTCCATGGAAGATGGAAGGAAGGAAGTGTGTGTGTGTGTGTGTGTGTGTGTGTGTGTAAGAGAGAGAGGAGAGAGATTCAGAGAGGCTATATTTGGTCACCAAGCATGTCACGATACTATTGATCAATCCCACTGAAAGGAAACCAGGATTTGGGACCTACAGCACAAACCAAGCTTGAACTTTTTAAATTTAGACTTCTTCCATGGTGTATTTCACCTCGTACCTGAGAATTTCACTGGCATGCTGGGAAGGGAAGCATTATTGTCTCCATTTTACAGATGGGGAGCTAGGGCTTTTCTACGCTGCCACTTTACTGCACTGTACCTTTCTCGCTCAGGGGCGTGAACCCTGTTCCCACCCCTGCATGCAGAGAGTTACAGTGCTATACGGCACCATTGTAAACGAAGAGTGCTGGGAGAGCTCTCTCCTAGCTTTGCAGCTCTGATTACACTGGTGTTGAAGTGCTCCCACTGCTGGGGTCTAAACTTAGCGGCTGTGTCTACACTGGCACCCTTTTCCGTAAAAGGGATGCTAATGAGACACTTCGGAATTGCAAATTCCACGGGGGATTTAAATATCCCCCATGGCATTTGCATGAACATGGCTGCCGCTTTTTTCCGGCTCGGGGTTTTGCCGAAAAAAAGCGCCAGTCTAGATGGGATCTTGCGGAAAATAAGCCCTTTTCTG